GGGGTCACCCATCCTAGTACTACTCTCGCCCAAGCACGCTTAACTGCGGAGTTCTGATGGGATCCGGTGCATTAGTGCTGGTATGATCGCACCCGAAGATTAACCGCGACTTTATTGTTTTAAGCAGTAGACGGGGAAAAAGATGAAATTGAATGGAACAGGATAATCTAGGACTTCCCAGGGGGTCACCCATCCTAGTACTACTCTCTCCCAAGCACGCTTAACTGCGGAGTTCTGATGGGATCCGGTGCTTTAGTGCTGGTATGATCGCACCCGAAGATTAACCTCGACTTTATTGTTTTAATCAGCAGACGGGAAAAAAAATGAAATTGAATGGAACAGGATAATCTGGAAATGGTTCAAAAGGGAGAAATTTGTCGAAAAGGAGGCGTAGGCGATTGAATGGGCTAAAAATCGGACAGGCTGTCCGGGGAAAAAAAGAAAAGGGGCGGGGTGGAAAAAGGGACAAAAGGGATGCAACACGAGGACTTCCCAGCGGGTCACCCATCCTAGCACTACTCTGGCCCAAGCACGCTTAAATGCAGAGTTCTGATGGGACAAAAAGGGTGCAACACGAGGACTTCCCAGGGGGTTACCCATCCTAGTACTACTCTCGCCCAAGCACGCTTAACTCCGGAGTTCTGATGGAATCCGGTGCATTAGTGCTGGTAAGATCGCACCCGAAGATTAACCGCGACTTTATTGTTTTAAGCAGTAGACGGGAAAAAAAATGAAATTGAATGGAACAGGATAATCAGGAAATTGTTTAAAAGGGAGAAATTTGTCGAAAAGGAGGCGAAGGCGATTGAATGGGCTAAAAAACGGACAGGCTGTCCGGGGAAAAGAAAAAGAAAAAGGGGGGGTGGAAAAATGGACAAAAGGGGTGCAACACGAGGACTTCCCACGGGGTCACCCATCCTAGTACTACTCTCGCCCAAGCACGCTTAACTGCGGAGTTCTGATGGGATCCGGTGCATTAGTGCTGGTCTGATCGCACACGAAGAGTAACCGCGACTTTATTGTTTTAAGCAGTAGAAGGGAAAAAAATGAAGCTGAATGGAACAGGATAATCTGGAAATGGTTTAAAAGGGAGAAATTTGTCGAAAATTAGGCGAAGGCGATTGAATGGGCTAAAAATCAGACAGGCTGTCCGGGGAAAAATAAAAAAGGTGGGGGTGGAAAAAGGGACAAAAGGGGTGCAACACGAGGACTTCCCAGGGGGTCACCCACCCTAGTACTACCCTCGCCCAAGCACGCATAACTGCAGAGTTCTGATGGGATTCGGTGCATTAGTGCTGGTATGATCGCTCCCGAAGATTAACCGCGACTTTATTGTGTTAAGCAGTAGACGGGAAAAAAAACGAAATTGAATGGAATAGGATAATCTGGAAATGGTTTAAAAGAGAGAAATTTGTTGAAAAGGAAGCGACGGCGATTGAATGGGCTAAAAATCGGACAGGCTGTCCGGGGAAAAAAAAAAAAAAGGGGGGGGGGGGTGGAAAAAGGGGGGGTCACCCATCCCAGTACTACTCTCGCCTAAGCACGCTTAACTGCGGGGTTTTGATGGGATCCCGTGCATTAGTGCCGGTATGATCGCACCCGAAGATTAACCGCGACTTTATTGTTTTAAGCAGTAGACGGGAAAAAAAATGAAATTGAATGGAACAGGATAATCGGGAAATGGTTTAAAAGGGAGAAATTTTTCGAAAAGGAAGCGAAGGCGATTGAATGGGTTAAAAATCGGACAGGCTTTCCGGAGGAAAAAAAAAAGGAGAGGGTGGAAAAAGGGACAAAAGGGGTGCAACACGAGGACTTCCCAGGGGGTCAACCATGCCAGCACTACTCTCGCCCAAGCACGCTTAACTGCGGAGTTCTGATGGGATCCGGTGCATTAGTGCCGGTATGATCGCACCCGAAGATTAACCGTGACTTTATTGTTTTAAGTAGTAGACGGGAAAAAAAATGAAATTGAATGGAACAGGATAATCTGGAAATGGTTTAAAAGGGAGAAATTTGTCGAAAAGGAGGCGAAGGCGATTGAATGGGCTAAAAATCGGACAGGCTGTCCGGGGAAAAAAAAAAAGGCGGGGTGGAAAAAGGGACAAAAGGGATGCAACACGAGGACTTCCCAGGGGGTCACCCATCCTAGTTCTACTCTCGCCCAAGCACGCTTAAATTCGGAGATCTGATGGGATCCGGTGCACTAGTGCTGGTGTGATCGCACCCGAAGGTTAACCGCGACTTTATTGTTTTAAGTAGTAGACGGGGAAAAAAATGAAATTTAATGGAACAGGATAATCTGGAAATGCTTTAAAAGGGAGAAATTTGTCGAAAAGGAGGCGAAGACGATTGAATGGGCTAAAAATCGGACAGGCTGTCCGGGGAAAAAAAAAAAAAAGGGGGGGGGGGGGAAAAAGGGGGGCAACACGGGGACTTCCCAGGGGGTCCCCCATCCTAGTACTACTCAAAAAAAAAAATTTGCTTAAAATATATATATAAAAAAATTCATTGGAAACATTAAAATACAGAAAATAAAAAAATTGAGTTTTTTGTTTTTCATTTTTTTTTTGTTATTAGTGAATATTTTTTAAATTTTAAGTAATTTTTTTTTACTTTTTAAGATGCATCTTACTTAGATGTATCTAAAATAGTAAAATATTTGGGAAAAAATATTTTAAAAAAATAATAAATATACAAAAATATGAAAATATATTGAATTTTTGTATGTTTTCGCATTTAGTATATTTTTTAAAGATTTTTTTCACAAATATTATACTTTTTAAGTATATTTATGTTAGGTGTGGTTAAAAATTAAAAAAAAAATTGCTCATCTCATCAATAAAGTTTTGCATTTAGTATATTTTGATGTACATTGTTGCGTGTTTTGCTCATCTCATCAATAAAGTTTCATTTTCTTTGCTGATCAAAAAAAATTTAAAAAAAAAATTGCTTAAAATATATATATAAAAAATCATTGAAAACATTAAAATACGGAAAATAAAAATAGTTGCTTGGTTTCCAGTTTTCCAAAACACTTTTCAGAAAATTCTACTTTCTTATTTTCAGTATTTTTTTGTTTTTATTAAATTTTTTTAATATTTTAAACAAATAGACACACCTAACATAAATACACCTAAAAAGTAAAAAAATTGTAAAAAAAATCTTTTAAAAATTCACTAAATACCAAAAATATAAAAAAAATACAAGAATTCAGTATATTTTTTTTATTTTTATGTATTTATTAATTTTTTAAAATATTTTTTCACAATTTTTTTACTTTTTAGATACATCTAAGTAAGGTGCATCTAAAAAAGTAAAAAAAAAAATTAAAATTTAAAAAATATTCACTAAAAACAAAAAACACAAAAATTAAAAAAGTCAATTTTCAAAAAACTTAATCTAAAAAACTCAAACCAAACACAGTGAGTAGAATTTTCTGAAAACTATAACCAAACAAGCTGAAAAGTATTTCTCCTTTTTTTTGGTACAATAAGGGTATTTTTCTTTCAGCTTTTTTATTTACTTATTACTTCTTTCCATTAATAAACAATGGAGTCAACTCTTGTGCAATCCAATGCCTCCCTTTAGCAAAATCAAGAACCAATATTAATGCATATAACCATGTCTATGATAAGATCATAAGACTATTTTAGATACTTACCGGTCCCAAATATTTGATGCACTGATGTTGCAAAATAGTCCTTGGACAATTTTCAAGATTTATTTCTTTACCATCTCCAACATCCAACCTTAATTTTGACAAGGAAAGGAGTTAGTAGATTTATGACAAGAGAAGGTAGAGCTTCATTTAAAAATGTATAATTCTGTAGTTTTTGGGCTTACCAGTAAAAGAAGGGTTGCGAGCTCTGACTATTAAACCAGACATTATAATATAAGTGCAGATTGTGTCCGTAACGATGGCGTGGATCAATCTATATGAGAAGAAGAAGAAGAAGAAAGTATAAGGACAACTTTTGTTTTTCAGTTAAGCACATAATCTGGAATTTGTGTTGGTTGTAGACTTGTCAAAGTTTTGAGAATCAACACGGCCTGTCTACAACGGAAGATGAAGTAGTCCATAATGAACTTTACTCATATATGAATCAAGTTAAATGATTAATGTATTAATCAAGTTAAATGCCTATCTTAAAAATAATAGTAAGTTTTTAATAGTAAGTTGTTGGGGGATTTACGTGTAGGTCCTAATAGGTGGACTTATTGTCCAATAAGTCCTATGATAAATAATTGTGTTTTTCATCAAATACTATTAAAAAAAGTTACTAATTATTAATTTTCAACAACAATTTAAAATTTTGGTTGCAAAAAAGTCACTAATTATAAGTTTTAGCGATAATTTAAAAAAATTGTCACAAAAAAGTTACTAATTTTTAACTTTTAGTGACTATTTGAAAATTCATCACAAGAAAATGTTATTAATTGTAAGCTTTAGCGACAATTTATAAAAATCGTGACAAAAAAAGTCACTAATTGTTAACTTTTAGCGATATGCAAAAAATAGTCCCAAAAAATTATATTTAGCGACGATTTTTATAGGACTTATGTTTAATAGGACTTCATGGAAATTAAGTCCAATTATTAAGACTTATTGATAGTTTATTCTAAGTTCTAAAAGAGGCTAGAATTGTCTTAAAAATGAACTTGATCTCATGTAAATACATAATGGTTATTGTACTTACAGCTTCTAGCCAGTGTCTCAGAGCTAGTTTTTTAGCTTTCTCATCCTTAGATAAACCCTTTCCAACCTACAATCATAGAAAAGTGTATACATACAAATATATATTACTACTTAATATAAGAATTTGTCATTAAAAAAAACATGTTTCAAGAACAAGTAGTTTTGGTACCCATTTGGTAACCTTTTTTTTTCCTTTTTTTTTATTATTTTTTTTTACTGTTTTTGTGTTCAAAAATTTTAAAAACTTGAAACAAAATACGTATGGGAATTGTTTTCGTTTCCAAAAAAAAATGGCATATTCTTCTTGGTATATTATGCTAGTTTAAATTGGCTTGTATGTATAATATCAAAAGAGTACCTTAGCTGCCCTAGTCCTAGCTCGTGCCCATCGCGAAACGGCACTTTCAGGTTTCTCAAGGTTAAAGAATGATACTGAGCTCTGCTTAAGAGTGGCAAAATCTAATGCCTTCCACCTACAAGAAGTAAAAAAAGCCATTGAATCGAAGAATAACTAAAAGCAGCCCAAAGAAGAACATGAGATTACTAAAAGAGGGTACCAGAGCTCCTCAACAACAACAGCACAATCTGCAAGGTTTCTTCTAGTCCTGTAACTCTTGTAAACTTTCTGCACTTTAATTGCAGCCGCTTGAAACTCACTGGCCGGCCTTGGAGAGAACAAAGTTTCCATTTCAGGGAATGATTTTGCAGTAATTGATTCATCATCTTTAGTCTTTGAATTTAAATTTTCTCCATACAAAACTAGATCCTTATAGAAAACAGTTGTCTCGAGTTTTAGCTTTTCAGGCTTCCATTTCTGATACCTTAAAGTTTCTTCAATGACCAAACTTTCAGGACAGTCAGATGCATTACTCTTGTTCGAATTACTTCTTTTGAAGCTAACTTGTCTTAATGTTTCCATATCATTTGAGTCAAAGCTAATTGATCTTATTATAACTGTATTCTCATCTTCTGTCAAACAAAATGGGTTGTTATTTAAGATTTCTTTTGAGGTTGATAAGATTGAAGACAAGGACAATCCCATTGGTTCACAAAATATAAGACTTCAATATCAACTGCTCACCCTGCTCAATAAAAGATTGAAATCAATTAAAATTATTAAAATTTTGTTCTTCTATGCAATCAACATATTTGATAATTGTACCCAAAAAAATATAAATAAAAAATAAAATAAAATAATCAGATATACTTTGAAAGACCAAAGAAATACCCTTAGAGCATCTCCAATGTTGTGCTATATGGCATGCTATTGCTATATTTTGTCTTGAAACTTCCAAATTCGCACTCTAATGATAAGTCATTTGGCTTACTATTACCTATAGGTAAACATTGTGTTAAATATAGAAGGTTTATCTATAGTTAAAAGCTTCATGTCTATATTTCTCTTCCAAGGACTCACATATAGCATTTTGATTTGAAGAAGTTGAAAACATTGCATCATATCATTGAAGCAAGATTGTTAAAATCAAACATTTTAACACTATTCATTACTAAATTATAGCAATAAATAGCTCTTTATTTATCTAACCATTGGAGATGTCCTAAGATGGCAACATAGTATGCCTAGGATAAATATGAGGCAATCTTTTCTCCCTTTATTTCATGAATTCTGAAAAGACATTTTTCAGAAACCAGCTTATAGCTTATCAAACTTTTAATAAGGTCCTGTACATCTCATCGAACCCACACACCTAACCCTCCTTTTACATTACAGTGATAGCAGTCTCTTGCATTGGAACTGTCCTTTAATTTCACCAATTTGGTTAATTTTTTCTTTCAACCACTTTAATCTCACTTTATAAAGCTTCCCATTTTACAATTGATCAATAAATGAAAGTTGACAGAACACAAAATCAAGCTAAGGAGCCCCTAACATTTCCGTAGTTTGAATTCATATTCTATTATTGATGAATAAACCAAGAACAAAAGCATTAAGCAGGAGCATGTCATGGTGCACCGAAATAGAAAGAAAGAAATCAATAAAGATTGGAAAATTAGAGAGAGAGAGAGAGAATTGAAGGCTTGTTACCTAAAAGTCCAACACACCACCAGTGTAGAGTCTCTCCAGAAAGGCCCTCGTAGTTCTACCTGAAACAATCATTCAAACATATATATAGTTAAACTTCAGCCTCATCAGTTTGCCTCCCTTTGTAGATAAATGCTCAAGCAAAAGCTATACAGCCTATACGGAGAGAGACACGGAGAGAGGAGATAAATGACAGGGAAAATTATTTGATAATTCTAGGGCAAGTTCATGTGGTGCTCTAAATTAACAAGTTTCAAGTAATAAATGGTTCGAGATTATTGTTCAAAGTCCACCAAACATCGAATTGAAGTCCCCACCTAGATTGGAAAGTTGGCTTCAAAATACGTAAGCAAAGGGACAAGGACTGTTCAAAAGAGAAAGGTCTTCGAAATGGCGGACCCATCAAATGGGTTTGTTTGAATACACAAATAGAAAGAGAAAGAAGAAAAAAATGATGGTGCGACAAAAACGGTTTCTTTTCCTGCTTGAATCCCCGCAAGGGTTTGAACATAGAAGAGTTCAAACATTTTAGTTTTTTAGATACTACATTGTTTTTTATTTTTATTTTTATTTTTTTATAACAAGGTGTTCGGGTTAATTTATACGCATCTTGATTAAATGTAGAACCTATGTAAAGGGTTCATTCACATAAATTGGACAAATTTCAAACAGAGCTCGCTGATGTAACTCTAAGAAACAAATTACTTCTAATAAGAGTTAAATTTGATACTCAAGTTATACTCAAATTGTACCTCCTAAACCAACCCTTAAAATTCAACAATGATAGAGATCATTAATTTTGGAGCTCTAAAAAGACCACTAATGACATGGCACTCAATAAAAAAAGAAAAAAATACAACACCAAGGCCAAAACATCAAATCATTCATGGTAAGGCCTACTACCACATCATTAGTGGTAACACTAATTAGTGCTCTCACTCATTTTCTCTTAAAATTTAGAGCCTACATTGTTAGGATGTACTATACTATATAATATGAGAGAGGACTACATTGTTAGGATGTACTATACTATATAATATGAGAGAGAGAGAGAGAGAGAAAAGTATAGAGTAGGTAAAACTGTTGACTAGATAGAATGGTGGAAGAACAAGGAAAGGAGTCGGCATATTAGGGAACACTATAGTACACACTTTTGTGTACGATATATACCTATTACACATTGTTGTGATAAATATTATATATTTTGGTAATTATTAAGAATTATGATAATTTATTATTTAGAATGAAGTTATACATTTTATAATATTATTATACAATTTTGTAGTAATGCTATATATGTTTTTTTATCCAAATGTTCTCTAACTATAAATGTGTAACAATATCATAAAATATGTATTGTTACCACAAAAATGTATAATTTCTTTTCTCAAACATAAATTGTGATAATTCTTACCAAAAAAATATGTAATATTTACCATAATATGGTGCATATGATACACATCTTTATAAAATTTCCTTTCATGGTAATAGCACATCGGTCAATAACTTGAACCCTTTTGATTTTGTGTACGTACAAACAATCAATATATATTAAGAAAAATGATATATATGTTCACTTTCTAAATCTATTTTCTAGATACAATGATATGTAAACGATCTGATTAGTTGATGATTAGATAAGATATGAAAGAGAGTATTATTTTAAATGTTTTAATTAATTGTCATATTATTAAATTTAAAAAATAAATCTAATTTTTAGACTTAAATAGTAATACTCATATTGTGGGGATATATTTTCTGAGTACCAACACGTGGCAAGGTGACGCCGATGTGTCAGCCGAGGTGCCACGTGTCCTGGTCGTGACGCCGAGGTGATCTCGGCTAGGCCGAGGTTGCCTCCGAAGATATCGGAATCCGAGATAAGCGGATAAGGGACAAGAGTCCTAGAATGAAGAGGGAACTCAACTTGGATATGGACAAGAGTCCTAGATTGGAAGAAGACTTCAGTTTGGGTAAAGATAAGACTCTTAGAGAGTTTATCCTAATCCCACTGGGAGTCCCAGATTAGCAGTAATCCTAAGTCCATTAGGGCCAGGCTCCTATTGGGGCTAGGATTGTATTGGCTATAAAAGAGAGGCACCCCCATGGGTCTAAGGTATGTTTTTTGATACTCAAGCTTGTGAGTTTAGTACTTGATTTATCTTTGAGAGATATACTGACTTGATCGTCGGAGTGCCCCCGGGTGGTCGAAACCACCACGGGATTCTTATATTTCTGTTGCAGGTCAGTCAGGTGCCATCTATTCTGCCAGTGCTCTCCAGCTGATTACTAAGCGGGCAGTGTGGTTGGAAAATCACCCACACACATATATTAATTCAAAGTGTAGTTCAATTCACTCTCTCTCATGAGTCGCATCGCACCTTTCATCTAAGTTCGCACTTTTCATCTAAGTTTCCATCCAGCATTAAAATCAATTCGTATTTTGTTTTATTCACTAAATTTTTTGTATAAATTATATATTTTTTAAATGTATTTAAATTAGAAGATTTAAAAAGTTTTAAAAAAAAGGTTTGTTACCCTCTTCTAGGTAAGCCTTTAGTGATTCACATATGTGAGCCTTAACACATTTCATCATCCATTTGAGAGACATAAACCGACTATAGATTAGGTTTGTTACCCTCTTCTAGGTCCCTCTCTCTCTATAGTCGGTTTATGTCTCTCAAATGGCTGATGAAATGTGTTAAGGCTCACATATGTGAATCACTAAAGGCTTAAGACTTTGCCCAGTAAGTGGTAGTTTGGTAATTAGAGCCAACTATGCAATTTAGCTTATTTTAATCTAATTTAATCATACCAAATCACATTTTAATTAAATATGCCATAAAATCACATAAATTCTAATGATCATAAATCATCAATCAATTTCAGATTCGGCCGCCGATTAGGCCTTCAATTTACAGTTTAAAGCATAAAACATAAACAGATAATTTAACAATCAACAGATAGATATGCATGTAAACTAGCACATTCAATCGATCAGTTCAGTATTTCAATCGATTCAATTACTTATCATAACCAGTCTCATTTTAGCAGTAATCAGTGGTTAATCGATAAACAGTGGTGAGGGTTGTTACAGTCTCCCTTCCTTCTAAAGAGTTTAGTCCTCTAAACTCGAGTTACCTTCATTCTGGAAGAAAACAGGATTCAGAGGGAACATTTCAGGATATCTCTTGGCCATGTCATCTTCCCTTTCCCAAGTGACATACACGCCACCATGGTTTTGCCAGTCCACTTTCACTAACGGAATCTCTTTGTTTCTCAACTTTTTGATCCGTCTGTTTACAATCTGAACAGTTCGTTCCTCGTAAGTGTAGTCATCACTTAGCACTACACGAGTCGGCTCTATCACATGGAAAGGATCCCGGAGGTAGTCCCTCAACATAGAAATGTGGAACACGTTATGCATATGTTCTATTTCAAGAGGAAGTACTACTTGATACGCTACCGAATTGATTTTCTCGATAATTTCATACGGTCCAACATATCTCAGTGCTAACTTGCCTTTGACTCCAAAACGAGTCTGGCCTTTCATCGGTGTCACTTTCACAAAAACGTGATCACCTATTTCATACTCTCTGTCTCGCCTTCTGACATCCGCATAACTTTTCTGTCGGCTCTGTGCAATTTTCAGTCTCTGTTGTATCAGTTTTACTTTCTCAGTCGTTTCGTACACAATCTCGGGCCCAAGCAAAGGCCCATCTCCAACTTCTGCCTTGCAAATCGGAGATCGATATTTTTTGCCATGCAATGCCTCGAAAGGCGCTATACCAATACTTGAGTGATAACTGTTGTTGTAGGTGAATTCAGCCAATGGCAAATGGCTTTCCCAATTTCCTTGAAAATCAAGGGCACACATTCTCAGTAAGTCCTCCAGAGTCTGGATGGTCCTTTCTGACCGGCCATCTGTCTGAGGATGGTATGCACTACTTAGTCTCAGTTTAGTACCCAATGCAGTCTGTAGGCTTTGCCAGAATCTC